GGGGGGGCTGCAGAACGGATTGTGAAGGCCTCCTGGCAGCCATCTTTGACTCTGACCCTGCCTAGCGACAAAGGATGGCTGAAATGTGATTGGTTAAATGCTTTTATATGAAAATACATGTCTGGAAGCAGCACAACCAGGGGGAAAGCTATGAAAGGAAGCTGACAGACTATTTAGAGATATTTAATAAGTCTCCATGGACAAAATATAATTAACATCAGTCTGTGATTCAGATATTTTCTTAGGCCTGCAGATAAGGCCCTGAAGGCCCCCCACTGCACGCCTGTTGTGGTGGGGTGCGTTTGATTCGTTCCTGCTCGTTTTCCGGAGGTTCTGAGTGTTTCTGCCTCTCCTGAATGACTGACAGTAGATTATCGGTCCGTTGCCTTTGATGTTACACCTGTGGAGTCCCAGGTAACGCGATCTGCGGCCGGATTCCCTCCAGTCTCCGTCTGCTGATGTGATTCTTTTAGGTCCTCAGTAATATTATATATATTATATCAGTAATCGCATTTCCAATAACCCGGCTGACGGAGGCCTTTAGCGCTGACTTCGCTCAAATGGGTTTTTCCCTGATTTCCACTTGTAGTTCTCATTTCATGCTTTTCACTTTCACTTTGCAATTTCATGTCCACTTTTCCTCTCTCTTGCTCTCCACAATGTGCCATTAATAAAAAAAAACTACACTTTTCAGACTGAGAGAACACTGAGTTTGACCTTTCATGGGGGATTAGCGATGGTAAACACTAAAGAATGACCCTTTACTCACGTCCCCAGATCTGTGCCTGACTGAAGCCCTATTGGACGCTCTGTCTTTTTTAGAGCCTTCGTTATGAAGGTGTTTTCCTTTTCCGTCCACTGACCAGAGGAAAGTATGGTGCTATAGTCTCTGGGGGTGAGCTGAGTCCAGCACAGAAACGCTGAACTGGCAGAAAAAGCTTTGGCTAAAGCAAGTCTCCCTGAGACAGAAAACATGGGTTTGGCCTGAAAATGTAGATGCTGAATGAGTTTATGTGGATCTTGTGATAATGTGACAGTCCCACTATGAGCTAACAGTAGCTAACAAACATTGGCTAAAGGGTCTGAGGAGGAAGATCAAACAGAAATGAGACATACATTTCTGTTTGATCAATTCAGACCAGTTCAGAGCCACAGTATAGCCTTTGTGCTGCTTCTATCTTTAGCAGTTTTCCACACGTAGAGGGAAAGAAGAAAACTATAAGATGATCTTGTGTTGACTAAAGCTGCTGTGTTTTAGTGATAGAGATTAGTGATAGAGATGCTGTGTTTTAGTGATAGAGATGCTGTGTTTTA